GAGGAAGATGTACCTCCGGGCCTGTGAGCTCACTTTTGTTGTGTTTTTTTTTTTTTTGGAATGTGAACAAAGTAATTTGTAATGAAATGTTCTTTTGGTTAAGTGTTGTCGTTTTCTCCTTCTTTGCCGAACTGACTATATTGTTTTGTCGAGAACCATACTCAGCTCGTTGTTAGCGCTTTGCCTCGTCAACGCTGAAATGAGATACCGAGGACCCTATCAGCTCGCTGTTAGCGCTTTGCCTCGTCATCTTGGTGCTAGCATTTTGCCTTTGCTTGCCCACGCCGAGGTCCTTGGTAACGACTTAGTCCACCTTGCTCGGTGATTTATAGGTAGTATCGTCTCAAGTTAATGACGTTCCACGCTCGGGGTACTTGTTTGCCCTCTAAGGTTTCGAGCTCGTATGCTCCCCCGAGCGCTCTCTTTACTCGGTAGGGCCCTTCCCAATTCGGTCCAAGTTTGCCCAYGCCGGGCTCGGGTGCCATGATCTTACGGAGAACCAGGTCGCCGACACGGAAGTTCCGCTTTTTTACCCTGACATTGTAGTACCGAGCTACTCTTTGCTAGTATTCTGCGGTCCGGATGTATGCGAGATCTCTTATCTCGTTGAGTAGATTGAGGTTGGTACGTAGCTCGTCTCCGTTTGTCTGATCACCGTATGCTTCTAGTCGCAGTGTAGGTACTTCGATCTCCACCGGGATTACCGTTTCAGTGCCGTAGGTGAGGTTAAAGGGGGTCTCTCCCGTGGCGATTTTTTTCGTAGTTCGGTGAGCCCATAGAACACTTGGTAGCTCGTCCGCCCACAACCCTTTAGCTCGGTCCATTCGTGCTTTCATCCCGCGGAGGATAGCTCTGTTCATAACTTCTGCTTGACCGTTTTGCCTGCGGGTGCGTGACCGATGTGAAGTTCTGTCGAATCCCCATATCTTGGCACCATTTCTGAAATTTGATGTCCTCGTACTGTTTGCCATTGTCGGAGATCAGTACCCAAGGTAACCCGAAGCGACATACTATGTTCTTCCAAAAGAAGTTCTGTACATTTCGAGTTGTGACTATTGCGAGAGGTTCAGCTTCTACCCACTTTGTGAAG